GATCACCGTGCGCTTGGAAAAAGATATTCCAGTGGAAAAAGGCGGGGGTGGGCATGATTGAGACGTCAACCTGTATATGGTTCTGGATCCTGATGGGCGACGATGACGAGGGGTAGCCAGCAGTCGAAGTCGAAGAAGCATCAGCTTGCAGCCCGGTCCTTTTTTGTTCTCTCTCCTCGGACAACGCGTCGTCGACTTCTGCCAAACCAGTTTCGTCGTCACTGGGGCATTTCCTCACCTCGTCCACGGATATCAGTTGATCTTCAAATTCCTTGGGCCACCTCAGTGCAAGATGATACGTCGAACCCCCACCCATTATTTTCCACTTGTCAGCCCCGAGTGATTTAGCTAGGAGAGGTCCAGTCCTACTACCGGCAGCAATCAGACTTCGATCCACAGGTTCTGCCACCATTATGTCGATATCTCCGTGAGAAGTCTTGGCGGGTGCTTCGATCGCATGGCCTACGAGTTTGAAGTGTGCCTTGAGGAGCGCCTCAGCGTGGTCGAGTACTGAGTAATAGACAGTCGGGGGCATTCGGGGAGTAACTAGGCCTTCGGCATTGAACACAGAGCCACCCATGTTGCTGTAGTAGGGTAAATTTTGCACAAATCACTGATAGGGTCGATGTTCCGCTAGAAAACAACAAACGCGACGATGCGGAATAAGGAGGACAAGAGCTTCGTTATTTGCTCCTTGGATGAGCAGAAAAAATGTCAAGTGAGAGTGAAGATCACCTTCTTCACAGTAACTGTGATTTTTTGATTGTTTATAGCTTTGGCAATGGTTGTGACTCACCTGATACCATGACTATAACCATGGCACTGCCTCAGCTCAGCCGGTAGTTTGGGGGCTGCGTTTTCTGCCACAATCGCTCCAAGTAAGTTTTTCTCGATCCGGAAGTGCGTTTTCAGCCTTCTTCTTGGAAATCCCCACATCATTTAACGATGAAGCATTTCTCAAGTTTAATGGGTTTCAGGATATGGTGTAATTTTCTAAGCCGCCACTCCAGGAGTTTGAGGTATGTAGACGGTGTTAAATTTATTATACGAGTAGATCAATAAACCACCTTATCGGGGATGCGGACCAATTCTGACTCCTATTTGACAGCATTAGCATCCCCGTCCATGTCTTTGCCCTTGGAAGTACCTGCCCTCATGTTCTCCGTGTGTTGCCGACAGGCTCATGCAAATGATTTATGCCCACCTTGCGCTGCAGCTCGGGATAATTCTGCGAGAGTTGAACCACTCATTTCTGCTTACTTTGCATCTCACATATATTCACTACCTTGGGGGCTTCTCCAAATGATGGAGAGAGAATGAGATTCCGCAAGTTCATCCCGCTCAAGGGTCTTGCAGCTGTCCTTCCCCTAGTATTGTGTTGGCTCTATAACAAGTCCTGTTGATGTCGACCTTCGTATGAACGTCTATAATTGCGTGTTGCATAAATTGACACCGTCATCTGTAGCACTCGTAGCACCCACGAACGGGGGCTGCGGAGGAGGAAAGTGATCAAAAACGCGGGGTAAGATCGACAAAGGCTACTACAACCAACAACCAACGACCACCACTGACCGAACCTCACTTTCTGACGAGTCGACGCGTCGTTTCATGTTTCGCATCGCCTACTACCTACTCCCTGTCGTCCGCATTAGACCCGCCTATGACAATGTATGCCGGTAGAGGCGGATTCGGAGTACCACCGACATCCTTGAGAGGCCGGATCGAAACCCGTCTACGTCGCCCTTCTCCTCTTCAGCGCGCTCCTTGTCGATCTCTGATGCAACAACTGGTCAGACTTGAGCAATATCGAAGCTTATTCGCCTGATGTCACAGCCTTCCTCTCAAAGTGATTCCCATGCCCTTTCTCCTCACCTCGGATCCATCCCTTGTCGGCGGGGTAACGAAAGGAGGAGGAAGAGGAGGAGACGTTGACCATGGAAGATAAAGCTGACCAGTTCCTGACCTATATATTAGGCTGAAGGAGCTTTGTGTGACATCTCTTGCTTTACACATCACATCAGACGGTTCCAGCGCTGATCTTCGTTGAATGTGACACTCCTGTGGGCAGCAGCTACGCAATCTCCCACACAGAACCCCCCTTTGCCTTGTCTGATCATGGGTTTGTTCACGGAGCTCCCAGAGGAATTCAAGGAGGTGGACGTGATCATTGTCGGAGGTAAGTTATTTTTTCCTCGACAGTGCTTCTCATCGGTAATCGCGTCGCACGATAGGGGGAACGGCGGGATGTGTGCTCTCTTCTCGTCTTGCCGAAGCAGACCCAAGCCTTTCAATTCTCGTTATCGAGCTGGGTATGAACAACTACAATGTGCCCCAAGTCGTCCAGCCCGCCCTCTTCCCGCTGAATCTTGACCCCGGCAGCAAATACACCCTTTTCTGGAAAGGCAATAGGGCACCACAGCTGGCAGATAGGGAGCCTATTGTGCCTTCCGGGAACACTTTGGGTGGTGGCAGTTCTATAAACTGGATGGTCTACACTCGGGCTCAAAGATCTGACTTGGAGTCATGGAAGACGCCCGGGTGGTCGTCCAAAGAGCTGTTGCCATTCCTGAAAAAGGTAGAGGCTGGCCTCCAATTGCGTTACAAACCTTTCTGATTGTTTTACCAGTTCGAAACCTACCATGGCCGAGGTGAAAAAGAGCTGCATGGCGATAGTGGTCCTATCAACATCTCTAGTGGTACTTTCCGAGCCACCCGAGCCGAGAACGAATTCATTGACGCTGCGGCGAAGATGGGTTACCGTGAGCTGAAGGACTTACAGAACCTTGACTCTAATAATGGTACCGAGCGCTGGCTACGTTACGTTGGCCCAGACGGACGACGCCAGGATGCCGCGCACAGGTTTCTTCACCCAAAGCTGCAGAGCGGTCACTATCCCAACTTGCACGTCCTCACAGAAAACCAAGTTGTGAGAATCCTTCTGGACGACAACAAAAGAGCGGTTGGAGTGGAGTACAGGCCTAATCCCAAATTCCAAGCTTCTGCTCGCGGGAAGGCTCTGCTGACTGCCCGCGCTTCGAAGCTGGTGATCGTCTCGGCCGGCGCCAATGCTACACCACTGATTCTTGAGCGATCGGGGATTGGCGACTCGAAGATTCTCAAACGCGCCGGGGTTCCTGTTGTCGAGGACCTGCCCGGTGTAGGGAACGATTACCAGGATCATCACCTGACCTTATACACCTACCGAACCAGCTTAAGGCCCACCGAGACGATTAATGCGTTCGCTGACGGGCGACTGAATGTGCAGGAAGAGATCAGGAAGAACAATAAGCAGCTGGGGTGGAACTCGATGGATGCCTCTGGCAAGTTTCGTCCCACCGAGGCTGAAGTCGAAGCGCTCGGGCCCGACTTTAAGAGGGCGTGGGATCGCGACTTCAAGAATTCCCCCGATAGGCCCCTGATGATCATCGCCATGTACTTGAGGTAAGAGGAAGCCATCACCTGTTACATCATGCACTGTTGTACCCTGACACGAACTCAGCTTCTTCGGTGACCATTCCACGTTGCCGGACAACTCCGAGTATGTCTCTATGGCCAACTGGACGGCATATCCCTATTCGCGTGGACATATCCACATCACAGGACCGAATGTCTCTGATCCCATTGACTTTGACGTTGGCTACTTGAAAGACCCCAACGACATTGATGTCAAGAAGCATATATGGGCGTACAAGATCCAGCGCGAGATCTTCCGTCGCATGAACATCTTTCGCGGCGAGTTGGCAGCAGACCACCCCAAATTTCCTCCGGGCTCTAAGGCCGCCGTCGTTGAGAAGGCGGATGGTCCTGTCGCAGACGATGCAAAACGCATCCAGTACACTCCCGAGGACGACAAGGCCATCGAAGAGAATATCCGCAAGATCGTGACTACAACTTGGCACTCATTGGGAACCTGCAAGATGGCACCAAGAGAACAGAAGGGTGTCGTGGATGCCAGCCTGAGCGTGTATGGCACCGAGGGCTTGAAGCTCGCGGATCTGAGCATTGTGCCTGAGAATGTGGGCGCAAACACGAATAACACTGCTCTGTTGGTTGGAGAGAAGGCAGCTGACATCATCATCCGAGAATTGGGTCTAGGTGGGAAAATCAGGGGACGCGATGCCGGGGGATACTCGAGAGAGAACCTCAATATTGCCCGACTTTGAGAGAAGGTGGCAAGGTACCTCATTCCGGAAATGAAGTTAAACAGGAATTTATCGCGTTCCGATAACGAAGTAACGGAAAATGAAACCCCCTGGGGGAGAAATCCGCTTTCTACCGCTATATATGAAGCAAAAAGTCCCATCAACATGCATGCATCTCGTCACACGAAGATTGTGGTCTCGTGTATTCTTGAAACTCCCTCATACCTGTAGCATTACTTGTAGCAGACGCCGATTTAGCTAGGCGTTTGGAGTGTTCGCATTTTGGAGCGTCCGGGTTTCTCGTCTGGGCGCCAAAAATGATCGGTCTATCTCGACCTACTAGGTTCGGTACCATCTCCGTGGAGTTTCGAGGGACAGGGTCTTCCCACCTACCGGTCCCGCACATTCCGACTCGTCTAAGTCATCGATTGAAACAAGCTTTGTATAGCAGATTAATCCCGTACTGAGTAAATTGGGAGGAACTTGATTCGTAGAGGAAGGATTCCAGCAAGCAGGGCGAGGCGGGAGAGGTTGAATGGGGGCCAGCCAGGTCAGCCCAGACACACTGACTACCATGTACATCTCGTAAACCCCGCATTTTATTTTGCCTCAGAAATCCCATCATCCCATCATCTCTGAAGAACCTCGGGCTAAACCCGCTGATTGCCTCTATCGTCTCCGTGTCCGATCGCAACAGAAGTGTCCGACTTTCGACTGTGACGGTGGATACGTCGACACAATTACTGCCATAACTTCGCTGTGCATTCTGCATCAAACCAACTCTTATCTGATGGGCCGCTCAAGCTCGACAACAACAATAGCAGCGCCGCGGCAGAACCGACGTCAATGCTCGCGAGCATGTCTCTCATGCAGAAAGAGGAAAATCAAGGTCTGTGCCCGTTACTGTTTTTCTCGACATCCCCTAGTCTCTGGGTATCTGATCTAAAATATAGTGTGACGATTGTCGCCCTCGATGCACCAATTGTGATCTCTATGGTTCAGAGTGTGTCTTTACCGAGGACGGCCGCCGGTGAGTAGCACTGAGTCCTACAGTAACCCCTCAAGACGCATGCAGCACAGCTGAACCCAGATAGACACAGAAATAGAGCTAATGCCGTCGGCATTCAGGAGGACTTCGCATCTGTGCCACCTAGCCGTGGACGACCAAGTCCTCGCTCGAGGTTGAGATCAACCCGACAAGGCTCAGAAGAGGAAGAAGAAGAAGAAGCAGACAGAGCACCTCCCCGGCAACAAGAAAATGGCGCCGGTATCAAGTCGCCGGCGGACCATCCCCATCCGCGCTCCAACTCGGCGAGAATCAACCTTGTATCGCCACAACTCCTGACCGACGACTTCAGCTATTGGGTTAGTATCGCAGAAGGCCATTCTTTGCCGGACACGAATGGGCACAATCGAGAGTCGGAGGGGGGTGTGGATCTCAGGCCTTCACTTGCTCCTTCTGACCATGCTGTTGCCAATATCAGACCCAGTATACAACGAGTTTCTGAGCATCTGGCAACCCCCTCCCCTGCTTCTCCTCAGGTACTTGTTGAAGCGCACCAGACCTCACCGCAACGCAGCATACTAGCTTCTCCCAGCAGAACCCAAAGGCTAGAGGCTGACGGACCTGACGTTTCCGCCATCTTCAAGTTCGAGCGACATTCTTCAAACCTAGCCAACCGTGCTGGTCGTTTGTTGGCCACAGATGAAGGACAACCTCGTTTCTACGGTGCAGCCAGCAGCCTTTCTTTGGCCCCAAATGGGAACTTCCCTTTGTTTACGCCATTGATCCGGACGGTCCGTGTCCATGGCGCTACTGCCCTGGAACAAAATCGCCTTGCATGGCCCGGAGACGTCCGCTATGAGAGCTACCTCCTGGAACAGTTTTTCAGATATCACAACCCGTATTTCCAAGAGGTAGATAAAGGCACTTTCTTTATGGAGAAAGCAAAATATGACCAGGGACAAAGGAGCCATTTATACTCGCCAACTCTTTATAATGCAATGTGCGCATAATCCTACCATCTCATCTAGCGTCCGGCATCTGCTAATACCATTCATTGTCAATAGCCTGGCGATAGGAGCTCTATACTCGAGCGAATATCGTCCTGAGATTGGCAGTGAAGTCTCGAGATTCTTCGCTCGTCGGGCAGAAGTGCTCCTTGATCTCGAACTAGACTGTCCCCAGACGTCGACTTTACAAGCCATATTGCTCCTGAGCAGTTATGAGGCTGCAAGCACGCGTGATTCGCGAGGTAATTTGCCCGACTGCACATATTGTCCAGATACATTGACTAATCAGCCACTGTAGGGTGGATTTACATAGGTACAGATACCATTTCAACAACTGCTTCTCCTCAACTAAATCTGATATCAATCGATAGGTATGGCGGTACAATTGATCACAGATCTTGGGATTCATCGCCATTCTCAAGGCGACGAAACTAGTCGCCCAGTCGTTGGAAGCCAATCTGCCTCCTCAACTTTCCCAGGGCATTTATTCTGGGCCTGTTATGCGTATGACATGTGAGTTTCTATACCAGAGCCATTCCCTCAGATATCCCTACATCATGGGCTTCCTGTATTCCTCCTTACAAGACGATGCTAATTCGTGGGATCAACAGACTATGGTGCCTTGAGAAAGGAAGACATTCTGTCATGGAGCAGCTCAGACGAACTTCTTCTGCCATGAACATCATGACGGATCTCGGAGTGCACCATTATTTGAGATCACCTTCGGCACTGGAGTCGAATGGTTATACGGAGAACGTGGTTTCTCTCACGAGGCTGTACCTCTGTCAGCTGCTTCAGATCGAGGGAAGGTTATCTGCTCATCTGTACGTAACTCGACCCTCTACTTGCTCCTCTTCTTGTCTCTCGAACCCATATGGTCGAACCCTGCTCATCATGGACGCAGCTTCGACGAAGATTCTCGTCCACTCGACTCCGACATCCCTTTCTGGCAACAAATGACAGAGGAGTTATTTCAATGGCGGCATTCTCTTCCGCCTCCGTTGAAGATCAGCGACTCAAGTGGAGAACCTGAACCCAGAGACGAAGTGTATGCGCAAGAAGTCATCTTTCTGAAGTTTGTGCACCCATCACCAGCATATCAACTATCCTAATGGCTAACCTAACCGCGTAGTATGCTGTTTCACGAAATAATCATTCTCCTCAACCGCCCGTTCACCTCTCAAATTGTGACTTCTTCACCAGTGGGCTCGGCCACGATAGCTCCAAGGTCTGCCTTCGATTCAACAATCACCGACGTCCACACAACGGCAGGAAAATACTGCTTTGACTCGGCTTCTAGAATAATCGCCTTGCTGATGTTGTTTAAACGCCATTACGGCCTGCATAACGTCCACCTGCACATGGTCCACAGCACTGTCACAGCCGGAGTGATGCATGCATATTTTTCGGTGTTTTGCCCTGACAAATGCTCGTCGCAGGGCAGCACGCCGTGTGAAGAGAGTAGGGGGACGGCACAACAGTCGCTGCGACTCAGTATCCGAGCGTTGGCTGAAATGGGCCAGACATTCGATAGCGCCACCAGAGGCATGGAGCTCGTGACTAGCTTGGGCCAGACCTGGCAACACCAAAGACGAATGGAAAATTCTGCGAAATGAGTGTCTCGGGGCCATGCATCATGATATTGGTAGTTGGCAACCTCTAGCTTTTACCAAGAAGACCCTCAACAACTCGACCTTTACTCTGAACTATGGTGCAATATCATTAGGTAAAGGTGAATGATCGACTTGTCATCTCCCTGAATACTCTGTCCTCGATTTATCCATCGCACCCTTACATCTTACAGCTTCGTCTGCTTCAAGACGGATCTCGCCTCTTCCGCCGAAGCCCGGGCAGCGCTCGCAAGGAATGTGGAGTCGGCTTGGAAGACAATCAGACTGAAGCCCAAGGACAAATTGCGCTTCATCTGCTCGATCGATCCCGTGTAGATGCCGACGGGCTTGTTGGCCTTCTTCCCGGCCGCAGCAATGGCGCTCAACGCATCGAGAAAGCGCTGCTCTGTTCCATCTCCACCAGGTAGGCCCAGCGAGCAGCGCAGATCAAAGGGCCCAACAAATGCACCTGTGACGCCTTCAGTGGCAAGGATAGCATCGGCATTCTTCACGCCCTCGGCAGATTCGATCATGGGCAGCACTGCAAGTCCTGGGGCGATCGTGTTGAAATATTGCCCAGGCGTCCTATCGAAGGTTGGATCAGCGAAGGGGGCATAGGACGGGCCATAGCTGCGTTGGCCAAGGGGTGGGTAGCGGGCCTTTTGGACAATTTGGCGCACGTCGTCTGGCGTATTGACCATGGGGACTACGATGCCGGCTGCACCACTGTCGAGAGCCCATTTGATCCACTCCACTCCATGGGAAGGCACACGGACGAGGGGCTTACAGGTCCCCTTGGACGATGAGCCTATTGCCTGGACAATGTGCGTTGCTTCGAGCGCCGATGTTGGGGCGTGCTCCATGTCGATTATCACAGTGTCATAGCCGGAAATGCCAATGATATGTGCGGACAACGTTGAGGTCAGGTTGACAAAAGTTCCCAGCAGGGTGCCATTGGCGCGTAGAATATCGGCCAAGGAAGACATACTGCAGGTAGAGTGCTAAGCTGAGTCGACGCAGGTCTGTGAGTTGGTGGTGCTGGGAATGGGGCATCCGTCTTGTGTGCAGATGGGGGTTCTTGTATAAAACGATACTCCGTTATAGAACGAGACTCCGCATTCGGTTCTCCGTCCAAAACACCTCATGTAAGATGGTGGACCAAGTGTTCCCCAGCCATCCCCCGCCTGGAGAAGTCCAGAGACCCAGGAGAGACGGGTTTCCCCTCGGTACACGCGGGTGGCGGGCCACAAGGCTGAGCGAGGCTCGTGATATTTTTCCGTGGAAATGAAGTAATACGTGGCGGAAGATGGAATCCGAGCACACCCAGGTGACCACGAGACAAGCTCCTGGTGCCGACCGAATGTCTAGAATGCTTGGTCCGACCTCCCACATCGTCGCCTTTTTTGCTTAGCAATAATCCTTCGTGCTTGTCCTCGTGGTTCTCCACCAAATCCCCAGGCTACCGGCTCAGTGCCTTCGGTGTGGATGTTGCCATTGCCCGAAGCGGGGTTGGATCTTGACGTCCTTGTTTGCCTTGAGTCCCGAAGACAACTTGCCTTTTCTTTCTCCCTGGCACATTGTTCAATTTGTCATACACACTCATATCGGGCCATCTGAAAAAGACAGCGTTCCTTTCTTGGTCTGGTCTATCGAGCCGGGAGGAGAATGCCTTCCTTGACCATAACGGAAACCCAGGGCCCTGTCCGTCCTCTCAAGCGGCGTATGAACAATGAGAAGTCTGCTACCATAACCAAAAAGCAATGTCTCGATACGAAAGGATCATCTGCCGCTGCACTGGGCGCGAACAACCCCACTGGCGCAACACCAACTTTGCCTGCTTTCGTCAAACCATTACCGTCAACCATGCTTCAACGTGAGAAGATGTTCTTGTTTGAACAGGATGCTTTAACGATTCCATCCTTCGACTGCGCCAGACAGCTTGTTCGGAGCTATTGCCACTCTGTGCATCCGTACATGCCCCTACTTGACTGCGACGAGCTGATCGCACTCTTCGAATCTGACATCATACAGAAATCTAGTGAGCAGGAACAGGAAGGACCCTATAGCCTTCTGCTGCTGCAGGCGGTTTTCTTCAGTGGAAGCGCGGTATGCACCCCCAACCCCCTTTGCCCCTAATATCTTGTCGGACTTGTAGGCTAAACAAGAGACAACTCTGTACAGTTTGTCGACCTGGCAACGATCCGTGCTATGGGGTTTGAGACTCGACAGGCGGCTCGGGAAGCGCTCTACGCACGGGCAATGTTACTGTATGACTTCAAGTATGAGCAGGATCTCGTCACCACCTTACAGACACTTCTCCTGTTCACGCACTGGGTAGAACACCCCGAAGATGACCGGTATACGTGGTTCTGGATGAGTGCCGCGACATCGTTGGTGCAAAGCTTGGACTTACCCAACTTGATCCAAAGACTGCCTTCAACAGCCAGGCAGGCCAAACTCCTCAGGAGAATATGGTGGGCGTGTTTCATGCGCGAAACCATACTCGCCTTAACGTTACGCTATCCTCGCAAGAGCGACTATGCCGACATGCCCCTTGACATGCTCCGCCTCGACGACTTTGACTTCGGAGAGGCTAGGCAGTTAAACGTGGACCGCAAGACAAATGACCTTATGGCTGTCGAGCTGGCCAAGCTCTGCCTTTGCATCAACCGCATTCTTTCCATTCAATCATCTCTTGCCGTTTGGTCGAACCATCCGATATTGAAATGGTCTCCCCAAGCTCTGCAGATGGACCCAGGCACCCTTTTGATACACGAGATGAATGTTTGCGAATCCTGGCTCTCGGAATGGCAGAGCAGTCTACCTCAGGAGCTCGCAACCCCTCTGCTGGATGATCAGACGCTCGAGGAACACGAGTATGGGGCCTCAATGGTGAACCGCATAGCCCTCCGGCTCGGCTACAATCTCGCTGTCATGGCTTTGTTTCGCCCGCATATTCATCCGTCGTCTCGAGACACTATGCTTCCTCGACTTGGAGACCCAGCGCTGAGGGCAAGGGCGTCTACTAAGCTGCATGATACCGCAGAGGATACCTCGCGAATCGCAGCAGCCTTGGTTCGGGCTAATCTAACAAAGTATCTTCCTTCTTACACGTAGGTGGTGATCCACCCAACCCTCTGGTTGAAGAATCCTTCTCTGATTCCCCCAACAGGATTACCGTCTTCTTTTCCGCCCTCATCTTTCAACATATCGAGTCCAAAACATGCGGGCCCGAGCAACTACCTGTTTTGCGAAGCAATTTTGACCATTGCAAACACGTAGCAATGCAGCTGGGAACTAGATATCAGCACGCCGTCTCTTTCATGCGAGCTCTTGAGCCAGAGCTGGTCAAGCACTCGCAGGACGCCTCGCCACAGTATTTATCACATGCATTCGAGGGTGAAGAAGTGTTGGGTGCAAGCTGGACTGACATGAAGTCTCCGACACGCCCGAGAATCACCACGGCGACTCAACGAAGATCCAAGTCTGGTTCCGAGCTCTTCGAAACCTTGCCGCCGATAGTGCAAGCCCCAGTAACGATGGGGCCTTGGGTCGGTTTAGGAGGTCAGGAATCATCGGGAGCAAATTCAAGCGTGCCCCAACTGGAGGCTCAAGAGATACAGGTCCATGATCACCACATGTCAGAGCAAGCCCATTCAGATATTGACATCGTCGTGCGTGGACAGCACAATTCCACAACGTGGCCAAGATCAGAGCCCAGAATCGATCGGGGCTTGTCCGACGTCGCGTTCCCAGGGCCTGTCGCAGCGACCACCGCCTTGCAGAACTCAGGCAACGCGTTTATGTATCCTGAAACGCTCTTCAGTGACGCCGACTCTGGGATGATTGACGCTATCAACAAAGATTTCCCCAGTCCGTGGGCCGTTCCCTGGGCAGATCTCTGGGCAGCTGAGGATCCCGAATTCTCTCTTGAACTGGACATGCACCGCTTTCCTATCCCTTAGCCTCCACGACCGAAAAGTTGGTAAGCCCTGAGCACGAGAAAAGCAATCACCGCTGCGGAGAGCAGGATCGTCAGATTCCACAATTGATTTGCTTCAAAGTCGAGACTCTCAGATCCTGGGAGATTCATGTCGCCAAATATCTTCGAAACCACGTCAGGCTCTGTCGCTCCTCCTTAGTTAATGCCTTTCGTAATGCCGTTGCACTCAGCGATATCACCTTCATTTTCATGCCACTCTGTCGTCACTGGGAAACAAACTATCATTAATCACATACCCAACCAACGTACACGCCTCGTCTCTCTCAAGTAGACCGCAGTCGAAAATCCTACGGCTGTTCCAGTTCCCGCAGACATCCTTTTCGGAGTCTAGCCGGACGTCTTCTCTTCTGTCGCCTCGATGTGCTGAGCCTCTACCCTCAACTCTTTCCCAGTGAATCCGTGCTCCTTGTCGATCACTGCCACCTCGGTTTGAAGGGTGCTCAGGTCGATATCACGCTGATACACCGCGATGCGATCACCGTCCTGGATGAATGTCAGACACGCATTTATAACAATTTGGTTTGTAATTCTGATATGAAAGGAATACTTTGAAATGATGTGGAACAAGACTTGGATGGTGAAGCAGCGAATACAGAACTGTCTGGGATAACTTACACCAAATATCGCGCCCACCTCTTCCAAGGCGAGACCTCTTGTGTTGGGGAAGAAAAGCCAGATAACAACAACTGAGATAGCGTTCAGGACGATGAAGACGATATAGTAACCCCACTTGATATTACTGCCTCAATGTCAGCGTCTGGCTCTTGTGCGGTGATCACCACACCACCTTCACATCCACACGACGAGATGATGACTGCGTCACTTACGCGAAAGCCGTCGGTGCGGCCTCGGTCCATATAATATTGAACAGAGCCTGTGTCGCCAGGGCTATGGTGTAGCCCTTTGCACGGTATGGCGTAGGAAACACCTCTCCCACCCACGTAAAGAGCAATCCGTCGATGAAGCAGCCGAAGAAGGCGCCGAAAAGAAAGATGGACGCCACGCCCAAACGTAGCACTGAGTCGGTACCATTGTCTAACGAAGTTGCCACGATGATAGCCTCGACGAGGAGACAGCAGGTCACGCCCACGAAGCCGGTGATTGAATATCCCGGTCGATTGAATCGATCAATGATAAAAATGCCGATGACGTTGCCGCCCCAGTTCAATGTTGCCCAGCCGCCTTGATATATAAGCTGTTTATCGGAGGAGAAGCCAAGCAGGCTGTACAGGAGCGGACCATAGTCTGTGAGATGGTCAGGTCAGCTCACCTCAGGTGATTCAGGCAGAGGGCTGTGAGGTTTGAGAGCCCAAACTTCGTATGGAATACAGGTGAGATAACAATGTCGACTGAGATATAGTAACATGATAGATGCTGCTAGCCTCGCGGTATGTGGTCGGGGTCGATACTTACTAACAACAACATTCACCCCCGATGTCGCGGTCATTGCTGGCCACACAATTCCAAACGCCGTCCGTAATGTCATCGGGCGGGTCGAGATCATTGACTTCCAAGAGAGGTCAAGGTTGGCGTCAACGGCGGCCTGCCTAGAGATTTGATAGTACTCGACATCGGCAAAAGAGTCGTCTTTATCGACTGGTGATCGATGCAGGCGGCGTAGTAGCGCATGAGCTTCTGGATGACGATCTTTCATTATAAGCCACCGGGGGCTTTCAGGGAGCCATATGAAGAGAATGATGCAGATGACAGGGACGACCATGCCGAGAGCTGGAGAATAGATGCGATGATCAGCAGGGGTTTCCTTCTTCGTCGTACTCGATGTATAGCCCCTACCTAAAATTGGGCGGAACGCAAGAACCTTTCCAGTGTAGAAAGAGAAGCCGTATCCGATCCAGTTGGCCGCAACGTATCCCAGCCCAAGCGTGATTGCAATGATCTGCATAAGAGTGCCTCGCTGGCGAGGGGGAACGAGTTCGGACAGCCACATGGGCGTGACGCATAATGTAATGTATCCACTGCAGACCGAGATACCAAGAGAGTCAGCTTTCATTTCTTGTACATATATCTGCCCTCTTCTGTCCAAAGCAGACTCTGCATCCACTTTTGCAGATAGCCAGATGGGACAGGTAGAGAACCATCTCACAAGGATGAAAGTTTCAGGAGAGGAGACTGACGCAAATCCCGCTATAAACCGACCAACAATAAACATTGCTATGTGAACCGAACCTGTCTGAATGGCCTGGGCGATAACGAGGCCGACCTGAGCTTGTACAGACGCGTTTTTCCGGCCCCAACGGTCAGCGGCGTAGGAGGCGTAGATGGTGCCGAAGACACCGCCTGCGTAGTACAGTCCGTTTGTGGCACCAAACAGCTGAGTGGCGTTGCTGGCTGTAATGAGGTTCATGTACTGTAGGAAAGATGGCTGGCCACCCACGGTGCCAATGACGGCGCCGGTATAACCGTAGGCCAGAAACGAAAGCGATAAGCCGATGGACACAAGGAGAGTATATTGGTTGTAATGACGGACAGGAGGCTCTGCTGATGTGAGTCCATCATGATTGGTGGTCTTGTGAACCATTGTGAGGGATATCCTTGCAGCGCAAGAGTTGGGTCTTGATGAGGAAGAAGATTAGGATAAAGGGCATATTTATGGACGCAGAAAGGACTCGGAGGTACTTGTACTCAGGTATCTACATACATGCATATCACTGGACTCAAATATAACCACACCGTTTGTGGTATAGCCATACTGACTACCCCGTGGGGTGTACCAATGTTAATCCACTTGTGAGCCGAAAAGTCCACGGTCTTGGGTCAGAGTAATGGTTCTGGAAAACTCCGGGGAGTTTTGTCTGTACAACATGTCCGTGGATTTCTCACCTACTCCATCTTCTTCCTCCCGCTTTTCGAAGAGCTAGGCCTGAATTGAGTTGAGGCCTTGGGCGGATGCGTCAACATTCTCTGGGCTCGACTCCAAGACGGGGACATTTTATTTTCCAGGAGCGTGATGATTGGTACAACAACATCTGGTCCTATGTTTTGACTGGACTGAAAGGCTCCGGTGTATAGCCCTCTAAATTGGCATAGCCTGTCCGTTTCATTGTATTCGCATCTGTACCGTGTTAGAGGGTTCACACACTATATTTCCAGACATACCTTCAGCAAGTTCCAGCATATAGGTCCCAAAGCTCTTCATCAAGATGCTGACATTCTCCTTGATCCCCATGTTGATAGGTTGCTGATCTTTTCCCACCTGTCCAATCTGTGTGCCCGCCGTGATCGTCGTCAGAGCGAAATTGTACTGGTCTATCTGTTGCTCGATTGCTCCAGTCACCTGTCCCCGCAGGATTTCTTTCGCTAGGCTGAATTCTTGAGCCGCGGGACGTCCTAATCCGACACCATCCACTGTGCTCAAAGCTGCAACCATCCCTTGTACTGTACGAAGCCCTCCCGTCACGTAAAGCTTCGTATCGTGCAGCTTGATCATCTCCGCAAACTCCAGAAAAAACCCCTCTCTTCTCCTTGTGCTTGCTTGCTTGCCCTCGAGCGGTCCGAAATTCTCATATGTACCACCACTCAACTCGACCCAATCAAACTTGGCCTCTTCCAATAGGGTACAGAGTTCGACAGCCTCAGATGGAGTAAATCCTTGGTCCTGGAATTCAACACTGTTGATTTTGATCCCCAAGAGGAACTTGGGTAATTTTCCACGGATAGCATCTGCGATCTGCAAAATAATGCGAGCTCTGTTCCTTAGTCCACCCCCATACTGATCCGTTCGTTTGTTGGTGGTCTTTGAGAGGAACTGGGCCAAGAAATAGCCGTGAGCTCCATGAAGCTGGATACCATCAAAGCCTGCAGCTTGGAGGTATTGAGCTGCATGTACAAAGGCGTCGATAACTGCATCAATGGCTTCTTGCGACGCTGGTCTTGGTTTTGCAAATGACCTGCCCATGGTAGTTTGCAGTTGGATGTCGCTTGCGGATATTGGATTTGCTTGAAGTCGGATGTCGGTTTGTCGGCCTGGATGACTCACTTGACCAGAAATCAGACTGCCCTGTTTTTTGGCCTGGGATGCCAATTCTTTCCATGCTTCAAACCTTGGCCCTTCAAGCGGTGCGTCTGGGGGGATGATGAGGTTTCCGGGTGACTCCAGCTGGTCGTACGCAACCATGATGTTCCCTGTTAGTATATGCCCCCAACCGCCCTCTCCCCATCTTTGATAGACTTTGATGACCTCCCTGGATGGAATTCCACGCGCCAAAAGATTCGTCGGGTCCCATGAAGAGATCTGTTCGCTCATGGCCGCTTTGAGGAATCGGTTACTTGCTGTTTGCCCCGAATAATTATAGGTGATGGGTGACCCAAGTGGCGCAGGGTCGACCACTGCAGAAGGTATACGCGAGAAAACCATAATCGACTAGAGAGCTATGAGACTGACCTGACTGAGTGAAGGACACATCGAACAGTGGCAAGGTCTTTATAGTTGACCTTCGCCACGAACCAGAAGTCGACTCCCACTATGCCAGTTCCGATTCCGAGCCTCCTGATTCGCTGGAACTACATTATTCCGTGCCAGAACACCTTATCCAGACCCCGATTGCATCTGTGGCTCACATCAGCCACTGAATTTATATCCGTCCGGAAGTAAATGTGGACCTTGCAAATACACGTCCTTGATTCTCGGCACTAGAACAGCCGTTGATAACATAAGCCTACGCGGCAACATCATCAATGACAACAACAGGCCTGGAGACCTCGCCCGCCAATCACAAACAAGCAATTATCTCGTAAAAGAGTCAGGCACCGGGTGGTGCCAATGTGCGCAGTAAAGTACCTGAATAATCCTGGCAAAGTCCCTTTCTCATGACCTCAATAGGTTACCCGAGGCTGTAATAGGGACCACAAGGATAGTTTGTGGAGTTATTCCTACTACGGATGTTGACCACTCCTCAGTCCCTCCCGTTTCCCCTGTTGCACTCGCATTCCCCGCGCCAGAATACTTAGCAAGTTTGAAATCAGATTTCCTGCATGTGTATTGCCTTCGAATTCGACATTGACCATTCAGTGGTGCACCAACGAACGGACTTCTTCTGAAGTCTAATATCAATGATGGGAGGCGCCATCAATTACCTGAAAAGGAGGCGAACAAAGGCGCCGACCAATGGGGCCGCGCAGGATTCAAAGTTGGTTCCCTCCCTATGCGGCAGTTTGCCTGCAGACTTACGAGTCAATGGCTGGTCTTGCTGTTCGCCCAGGTGTTGTTCGAGGCGAACCGTTTGAGACCCATGGACCCAGACGTGCGGCATGCTAATCGAGTTTGGCCAGGAAACTTCGGAATCGCCTATCCCAAAAAGCCTTCCGCGAAAGATATATGTGACGGAACTCGAAAAACGGCTTCAGATCGCCGAAAAGCCAGATACATCCCGAATGGTGGCGCTTGAGGAAGAAAATCGCGTTTTGCGCGATCAGCTGCTGGAGTGTCGCAAGAAGCTTCGGAGCACCCAGGCGACTTTAGAGGGTGCATCCGCCGACATCACAGGCGTACTTTACGAGAAGGTATTCTCAGCACCTTGAATCAACATCTCAACTTCCTGCTTTGTTTCCGCTAACCAGCTCGACGGGGTAGCCATCACCTACAGCAGATTGCTTAAGGCTAGGCTCAGACGTCGACAAGTCGGAGCTTGATGTGCCAAGAGATGGAGAAGCGGATAAATGTATCGAGGATTCTGTCTACTCTCGTAGACTGGACTTCGGTTGCGATGTCCAACAGGTCGATAGCTCACTTATATCACCGACAACAGACATAACGTTGCCGCAAACTGACAACCGTATATCGGACCTTGGACCGGTAGAGATCATCCGCCGCAATGAGGACCCGACTACCCTTCCGGATATTTCTTCCACACTGTTCCCAGACCTGCTTCATGATCTCACATCTTCCGGGAATGGGTTTGGCTGCTTTCAGCAAACAGACTCGGGGAAAGAGGTCTGTTTGGTAAACCGATCATCCGCAAATACCGAATTCCATCTCAACAGCTACGAAGCAATACTCTCCGGAGCCAACTCATCATACTCTGCTTACATTATCGCGTTCGAATCCTGTATCAAGAGAAAATGGAATGAAATGAAATATCAGCTGTACGATGACATGGATAGGTGAGTTACATGCTTGATGGGCTGCGGCTTGAGCCTTTCCTTTGCATATGGGCCGACTGGACAACAGCCTTCGCTCCTCTGTAGACCTCATGTTGTCAGCATTGGTATGCTCGATGTGGCCGCTAATAATGAGCTTCTATACCTATACGGGTGCTCACATCCGACTTGGAGAGCTGACTTTGCGGCGGATCAACGCAAGCCTAGAGACGTCCGCCGATCTCGACCTATCTTACCGACCGAGTCTCCTTCAACAGTCGAGCTTACACGCTGCGATCATCGACTGCATAACGTTTCCATCTCTAAGAGATCGGATTCTAATTGCGTATACGGACGAGCACCTGGACCGCTTAGTCTGCGCCATTGGTGACTCCTACGTTATCCAAGTCGATCTATCGAAACTAGTCGAGGCTTCATTCCAAAGCTGGGATATACAGGGCTATGGGATCTTCAGACTGCCGCAGCTTCGCAAAGTGCATCGAGAGAGGATAGCCCTTTCCCTTCGACGCTGACTGATATCAACATAGAAGAGTACACTGACCCTCCAACTTGGCAATCGATCAACAACAAGTTCAAAAAATACTGCCTATCGATATCAAGATCACTCTCCCTACACGTCAATGGCTTCGAAAATGTTTCAACTGAGTGATGAAATAATTCATTATTAGCTAGACCGACATTCGTTCTTATCACCTTGCCGAAAGCGATCGGATGTAGGATCTCGCGTACTTCCATCCCCCATCCCAAGATGTCGATGCTATGCCGCAACCTCGTGCAGTATCGCGAATCAAAGAATAGCCAATGCAGCATACCCGAGGAACACAGCCAAACCAACAGAGTCTGTCTTCAGCGGTACGGCGGCACCAGAATAGGTAGCAGTAGCAATGCTTCCTGTGGCAGATACGGTGCTCGAACTAGCCGCTTCCGTGCTGGTGGCATTTGTGACTGGCCATGCAGGGACACCATCTCCATCAGTGCCATTCAGCGGTTGCGCAAAGCCTTTATAAGGGTTCATCACGCTGTCAATAAGCACAATAACTCCTCCAGAGGAAAAGAGGTTGACGGAACTGACGCCGGCATTGTTGATGAACCACTCCTCGTCGGGTGTTTGCGTGAAGGTGACAGTCTCACCCGTCAGCGTAGTCACTTGGGTGCCATTGGCCCAGTCGTCGAAAAGTAAGATCTGCTCGCAAGCGTGGTATTTGAGCACCTCCGTCAAATTGTCCTTGCTGAGTTGCGAGAGGGCATCCTCCACAAGGGACCAGCCTGAGTCATAAGGAACAAAGTATGTGGCGTCATGGAGTGAGTTGAACTGTTCCGTTAGTCCGATACTATCAAGAGCCGCAACGAACGAAGTCCCGTTGAAGTCGTCCGCAACCGCGACCTCACTAAAGATCTGCGGAACTGATAGTACACTGTCGATGATGTAGATCCATCCCTGGGCAAAGGAGAGGGGAGTCACACCAGCACTGGAGTCGTTGTAGTCTCCACTGAGGAATGTGGTCACATTGTCATCGTCATCGTAGTAACCAGCTATAAATTGGCCACCCGATACATTTGTGAGGGTGTCGGAAGTCAAGAGGGTGTGAGCGACAAAGTAGTCTGAGATGTTATTGTATCCTCCATTGATTGTGTGATACAGTAAGAGATTGGTAAGGTAGTCGTCCCCGGCGTCCGAGGCTGCTTGTCCCTGAGAAGAATTTAGCCACAGGGCAATGGCTGTGTCATTCGGGGCGAGGAAGGTGAGATTCGTCTTCCCAGATATGGCTTCCAAGAATCCTGGGGATTGAGAAACAACTTGGCCAAGGGTGGAAGTCCCGTCAGTAGTGTTGAGAACAGTGGCCAGATCTGGTGAGCTTTGGCCCAGGGTGGCCCCAGCGAGCGTGGTGAGGGTGGCCAATATTTCGAGCAACATCGCAGTGAAGGCTAGATTGTCAACAACAAATCCGTAATGTTTGGCCCAGCATAGGATAGAAAAGGAGATGAGACCTCGGCAGAGGAAATAGTTTGACCACTGACCAGAATGCCACTGGCAGGATTCATATACAGCCAGAGTTCGGCAACGTCGCCGATATTTGGTTCTGGTCAGTGGTCCCGGCGACCCTACTTGAGCCTATCGAGGACTTCGACCTCGAATGAACGCAGGAAAATGGTGGCTGTTGCGCGAAGATCTTTCCATTAACAGCAAAGATCGCGTCATTTGCGCGAGAAAAGTGGTATTTAGACCAAAATATGGTAGGGCCATGGCGTCTTTGGGCAGACGACGGGTATCGCGGAAAACTTGTGTAGGAGCTATACTCCTGCGTTCATTTTGACTTGCCCTGTTGTGGACAAGGCGCGTAGAGAGCAGGTTTGCAGCAACTGGTAGTGTCTATAGAAAAACGTAATGCGTCACCAGAGAGTGGGAGGCTCTGAGTCCAGGGCCTGTCCACGCCGATAGCGGAGAACTCGTCAAGAAGCTCTTGTGAAGTTGGCCCAGCGCGCTTGTGGGCGGTTGAGTGAATGGAGAGTGTGAAGAGTAGCATCTAGCCGGAATAGTAGAGGAAGCGAATGGTCTGATGATCTTAGAATTTTTGATGTGTCGATTCAGCCCCCGAGATCCCTGGATCAATGGCACTATAGTCAACTATGTGAATCTGTTAGTCTACTAGCACAGTGGGTCAGGGTAGTGTAACCGCTTTTCCCTAGAAAGCCTTGGCTTTACTTTCCTAAGTTTTACCTCCAGTTTGACAAGCTTAGTTCAAAGCTTGAATCCCCATCATCTTCCATCGTCCAAGCGGTTCCAGGTCGCAGCTGTGGAAGCGATCGGCAGACCGCGCGGCTCCGTTGACCCCACGAGCACCGACATCGGGTGCAAATTCCAAGGATCCTGATCCTGTAATACCCTAGCACTTACAGTAGTGCTGGCTGAGCGGTTTGATCAGATAACTGATTATCAGATATGATTAGCCAGCATACAATCGATTAGATAAGATTATTCGAACTTGGACTAGGGGGTTTCACTACATCCTTGCGCTTGGTCCGAGACGTGGGATTCACCTACCCTAGGCCAGGGAAGCCTTTGAGTAAAGCATTCCAAGATGTTTACAGGCATATGAGTGTTCTTCTTGGTTCGAATGACCCGCACTTCATTCGGCTGGAGATGACCGGTGAACGTATTGTTCCCCCAAGCACCCACACACCATCAGATCTCTCTGCCACCTCAGCAGGGTCAGTGCCATACGAAAAAAAAAAAAACGAACAGCGTGTGAAAGCCAGTGTCTTCTAGGTTTTCCAACCCGACATCATTTCCACTTGCTACCATATCTTCCGTCAAATAATACTCCCCGGTTTGGATGCCTTCACGCCCCTCCCTAACGGACGCCTCGCGCTCACATTCACCACGTACCGTCCAGCGAAAGTCACCTTAGGTACGACTTGAGCACTATTCCACTCTTCGCACGTAGACTGAGCGTACAGAGCTCTCGAAGGCAGCGCTTTCCGTTTAAAGTCAACCGTCAAACTTAGACAGCCATTGAATTCGTGATCTGGACCATGGTCCTTACACATGGGAGCTCATGCGAGGATGATGATGCGTTTCGGCATCTTTTTTAGTGGCCACAATCATTCCACAGACCTGCATATTCCGTTAAGACCCAGGATTAGCTCTAGTCCTCGCTTACATGGATTTTCCGACCATAGAACGCCCGCGGTCTAGAGCAAACTTTTCTCCGTGCAGAATACTTCACGCAAGCCTGAGCACGCACACCGGTGCGTCGACCATGCTCAGAGATGCAGATACCCTCTTCCCGAACAAGCTAACTGACCGATATCGGTCATACGACAATGTTTAGCGCATCTAGATAGCTCTAGCGCAGTGCGAGTATCATGTTTGTGGTTGAGAAGTGATGACTTTTGGATTGAATTCCAAGAGTTAGTAAGAGATTGCGTTCCATTACACCAAGCTTGACAAAGCTTGACACATTGAAGCCATCCTTAGTGAGTTTCTTGCCACTACTGGTGCATGATTGACGTCAAATCTTACCGAAACAAAAGGTGAATGGTATACAAGAGAGTCTCGAAATGGTGGAAAGCTCGCTTCCGCCATGAACTCAAGTTTCATACGGTTGTCTACTGGCCCACCTTTACCAGGATGGTTTCTCGGTCTTCTTCTCATTTAGGTGCGTCTTAACCATTAGACTCGGTCTAGGAAAAAAGGTCAGTCACAATACTAGCATGTGAGTGGCACGATCAGGTCTCGGGCATATCTCAGCTTCTTCCTGTACAACCTTTCAAGCTACCACAAATCAGATAGAGTTAGCTCAATATGCGTTCCAACGCGCGTGGAGGGCCAACACGCCCTTTATTGCACATGTAGTTCCACCCCCGGAATGGCAGTCTTATATGGGACTGTAAGTCCTTCAAATCTATTACAGTGCATATTTCTCGATCACTTCTTCAGTTCCAGTGGTTTCTTCCCAGCCCTGCGGAAGTCTACGTTCAAAATGAAACTGTTAACAACCTTTCTGGCACTGGTAGGTATAGCATTTGGAACGGTTGACAAGTGGACTGGCTGCTTCCAGGGAGTTGAGACGGCTGTGGATTATCTCACTTTCAATTTAACTAATCCTACCGACTACTATGGCAACCTATGCACCAACAAAGTGTACACAATCTCAATGTACGCAGCTGCCAAGCTCTATTGCAGCATCAGAGAGATCCAAGCCGGATACGACTATTTTAATCAGGAATGCCAGGAATACGGCGAGGGACTGACTTTGGTTCCGTACTCCGACATCGAGCCACTGCTTACCGATGAATACATGAAGTCTCTCACTGTCGCCGACTATAACGATTATGAAAAGGGTACGGTCTTCAACGGGCCCGTGCTGATAACCCGCTCTTATTGGAAAACCGCCAGAGACACTTGGGTAATCGTGCTCTGTTCGCCATATGTTTGTCGAGGGCTAACAATAAGACAGGTTGACTTCGACATTGAAACTGCAGAATATCCGCATGCTTACGGGTGTGTTACTCTCTTTTACCTCTTTGGATACTGGCTAACTATCTATAGCTGGGCAATGTATGGCTTCTGGGGAGGAATACTACTGATCGGCATCATAAATCGTCTCATCACTTCTTTCTTCCAGTCTCGACGCTTAAAGGCTATGGACGATGTTGAAGAAGGGCAAAACTCCTCCGTAAAGCGTCGGGATGAACTTCCTGGATTCATCAAATTCGTCTATGATTGGATCAGGGCAAATTTGATTATTCCCGCCGCATTCGGTTCACACCATTCTCGCCCAGTACTTTGGATGACCATTCCAACCCGTATGGAGACGATAATTATTGTGACTTTCTATGTTATGAACTTTATCTTATGCTGTGTCGGCTACAAGATCTTTAACCCTAATCTCTAGTACGTCCCCCAAACCCCTTCGTTTTTGCATACGTTACTAAACAATTGTCTTCAAGTTATTCGAACGGTCAGCAAGGCTGGCGCTATATAGCCGACCGTACTGGTATCATCTCATATGCTTGCTTGCCTTGGCTATGGATGTTTGCTGGAAGAAACAATATCTTCTTATGGCTGACTGGCTGGAGCTTTGCCACTTTCAATATATTTCATCGCCACATTGCTCGATGGGCGACCTTATGTGCAATTGTTCATTCGATCAATTGGTCAGTCTTGGAGGGAGAATGTATGTTATGTCCACGTCTTTCTGACTTTTGAATCGTTCCTGACGATGGCCCACAGTTGGCTATTTTGCCGAGTCATGGACAGAACAGTACTGGTATATGGGAGGCATGGTAAGCTCCTTGATATCTCGCCGACACCAATGGTGTTTCTAAACTAATTTATTATATAGGCTACCATTACGATGAGCCTACTGGTCTTTTTCTCATTCATGTGGTTCCGAGTGAAGTCATATGAGGTCTTTCTTCTGATCCATATATCACTTTCGGTGGTGACACTTGTTGGCTTATATTAGTATGTGCTACTCCTCCCTTACCACCGTGTTTCCTTTCCTGACACTAACATATTAGCCACACCATCATATTCGATGGTGAATACAATCCGTATCTATGGCCACCCATAGCAATTTGGAGCTTTGATCGAGCGGCTCGCTTATTTCGATGGGTATACTGTAACCTTCACATGAAGTCTTCACACTCCCTCATGACTACTAAAGCCTCGATCACGTACAGTCAGCGGGGCGACTTTATTCGACTTGAGCTTATACCGGGGTCTACCCTCCTCCAACCCGGCCCTGGACAGCATTACTTCCTGTATCAGCCGATAAAATGGAAAGGGTGGGAAAATCACCCATTCACTTTGGCCGGATATGAGCGGATCGATGACACTGAGGAAGCTCAGACTGTTGCCGGCATGGAACAACTGAACAGCGCTGCAGAGAAAGAGATCCCGAGCAACACTGAAGGCTCGTCTTCTCGTCATTCCTCGGACATAGGCCAACCTCTGCCTCATGGCCAGCGAACCGTGTCCAATGCTTCTGGTGGCAAGCAGAAACTTACCTTTCTTATACGTCCTTTTAGCAGCTGGACTCGACGTCTTCGTGAGGAATGTCTCAAGTCTCCCACTGGCATCATTACGCCGCACATCTTTCTTGAAGGCCCATACGGAGAGAAGAGCCCGTTACATACTTTTGAGCACGTCGTTTTCATCGTTGGTGGGACCGGCATCTCCGGTGCACTGCCGTATATGCAAGATCATGCAAAGCGTGTGGCCCTCGATGCTAGACAGCAATCAGGCGCAGCCGAAGGAAAAGTCTCTTCGCTCACCAGGAACATCACGTTTGTCTGGTCGACCAAACAAACATCCATGATCAAAGACATTGTCGCGCAAGATTTGCAGCCGTACATCGGGCGTGACGACGTTCATCTCCATCTCCATGCCACCTCTTGCGGAAATGGCCGGCTTACTTCCGTGGACGCGGCTAACAGCGGTAATGAGGACCTCGAGATTATCCTGCCTACCAATGCTAGTACTACCAACATCGACATCGCCTACGGCCGACCTAACATACAAGGAACGATACTAGGTGTGATTGATAAAATGAACGACACTGACACAGTAGGCAGAAGAATTGCCATTCTCACTTGCGGACCCGCTGGCATGGCCGATGAGGCGAGAGCTGCAGTACACATGGCTCTAAAGCAAGGCAAACGCGGCGTCGAATATATTGAAGAGACCTTTGGGTAAGCCTATTTTTTACTTCTCCTCGGTGCATCCATTATTGCTCCTAGCTCACCATCTTTTCAGATGGTAATATAGTCTTGTATCACAAGACAGGACAGCCCTCGTCAGCAAGTAACCAAGCTTGTAATAAGTAATCCAGGCCGTCATCGCAAGCATCCAACTTGAGGACAATTTATAGAGATATAGCTTGACGAGCTGTAGTCAATACTCTTCATCTATGTCCCTTCAATCATGACTAGTATGGCTTTTCAATGCCGTTTCCGCGCGTTGTCTTCTTTCTCCAGGCAGGTGTTACGTGCACACCTGTACTTCAGCTTGAATCTATACCGCTACTAGTCTCTACCTTAGGCCGTTGTATGTCATAATCACTTTATGGTCATGACGCGGATTCCTCCAGGTGACCTCTTTCTCTATTGCGGCCGCGAACCAGTCACACACTTTTTCCGGACCACTAAAAGAGACAGGGTTACTAGGAATCGATTCTAATGGGCATTCCATAACTACAACTACAGTAATATTATAATAGGGGGATCTATAGGCTGGCACGTAATTAGTGGAATTTACCTATATAATGTATAGGAAAACATTCCTACCTCCTAATTAGCTAGGTCTCGGACACTCTATCCTTCTTCTACCCCTTAAGGTTAACGTTCTCCGTTAGATATTTTTCTTTTATTATAGGTATTTATATATTATTTTTCTTCCTCTATCTAACGTAGGTCTTCCTATCTCTATAGCTAGTCGCGTTATTAAGATATCGAAGTCTAAAAATACCCTATCTCGAGGCGTTAAAGCGTATACCGCTAAGTATTATCTACACTAAATACTAAAGTAGTCTAGTCTAGCTAGCGTAATAATTCATCTATTAGTTTACTTATAGCGTAATAATTCATCTATTAGTTTACTTATAGCGTAATAATTCATCTATTAGTCCGCTTATAGCGTAATAATTTATCTATTAGTTTATTTATAGCGTAACCCCCTCTAAGCGCGCTCTAGGTAGCTCCCTATTTTATTTACTACGTACCCTCCTATACTTAATCTACATTTAAATAGCGGACTCGATATATTATATAGTATTATTAACCCTAACTATAGAATAAATCTATTCTATATCCTAATCTCTTTAATAAAATAAATAAATATATAGGTAAACGTAGGATATCTAGGTATTTAAATAATAAACGCTCCGCGATACTAAACTTATAATATTAATACTATATTAAGTATATATCGAGATATATACGGTAACTATACTTAACTTTAATACTTAAATAAACTAATAAAAAAGATTAGGAGAACTTACTATCCTCCCTAACCTTAACGAGATACTTAAGAAACCTACCTAAAAGAGAAAATTAAATAGCGCGAATAGATATAACTATAGTCGTACGAAGAGAAAGTATACTAGTAAAAATTAATATACCGTAACTTCCTCGCCCTCCGAGAAAACTAAGTCGATACCTATTTTCGTATTTATATATCTATTATTAAACCGTCTAAAGAGATTTAAATACCTCTATTATATATACTAGGAAATCCCTAGGTATCTCTATTACTATCGCTCGTTAAAATACTTATCTAGGCCCTCGCGCTTAAGAGGAGGAGATATAGGAACCTTAGACTTACTACGTTAAGGCGTTACTTAAGGCCTAGGCCCTCGCGCTTAAGAGGAGGGGGTATAGGAACCTTAGGGCCTAGGCCCTCGCGCTTAAGAGGAGGGGGTATAAGAACCTTAGACTCGCTATACTAAGGCGTTACTTAGGGTATAGGCCCTCGCGCTTAAGAGAAGGGGGTATAGAAACCTTAGACTTACTATATTAAGGCGTTACTTAGAGCCTATAACATCGCCCTAAACCTCCCTTTCCGTAATATAGGCGAGTTAATAGTATTAGCGTAGAGAGCGATCTATACGTCGATAACGGTTATACGCCTCTATAAAATCCTATATAGTATATTTAAGGATATATACCTTAAATTAGGAGACTAAAGACTATAGTCCTTTTATTATAAGGTATCGAAACTAGATAAGTCTAAATACTACTACGTTATAAAGAAGTAGGTAGTTAATAATAATAAGAACGCTAAAAATAGAGGTAATATATAACCTTCGAAAACTAAATAAGATTTAAAAGAAGATTTATTTAAGTCGGTTTATATACGAAGTATTCTAAGAGATTATACTTAAATATTAAGTTCTAGAGTTAAATATTAAGGTAGATATAGAATAGATCTAATCGTTATCTTAGTTAACGAATCTATTTTATATCTACCTTAATATCTATAGAGAAGAAATATTATACTCTCCGTAAAATTAAGTTTAATATTATCGTAATCTTAAAAGTAAAGACGCTACGAGAATTCGCGAGATTAAGAGACGCTAAAAAGGTACTTAGGCGAGAGTTCGCGAGGTTAAGAGACGCTAAAAAGGTAC